CCCCTTGCCTTGCAGAGGACGCCGCCGGACGCTACATCTCCCCTTTCCACGATATCCCCATCTACGCGGACGCCGGCAAGGTAAGAGGGGAGAGGGGCCGGAGCAAGGAGCACCGGGCCGGGTGGCTGGTGTGGCCTCGTTGGCTTGGGGCCGGTGGCAGGAGCAACCACTGGAGCTCTGGGCCCCGGGGGTGAGTATTTTGTCAGTGGTCCTCAGGGAGTGCGGTCCTGCAGGCCTGAAATACCCGAGGGAGGCTCCCAGTTCCTTACGCTGCTTCTCGGCAGGAGCACCCTAATGGAAGCATCACCACATCTTGCAAAGAATGGGTGCCCTTTTCTCGCAGTCAGCCTCGGGTAGAGTGACGCAGGAGAGGAGAACGGATGATCTCATTCTCGTATTGGTGTCTGAGATACAAGTGGTTGTCTTGAACTTGCCCATGAAATCACTTGAAAGCATTTTGACTTAAAAGAAGCAGTCTTCTGTTTAGCTGAATATCTGCATCCACTCCTATGGAGGTATACACTCTTGCTGCATGATATTTCAGGCTTGGGTTTTGACTGCAGTAAGGCCACGTTATGCCTGCAGTATAATCAGCCACTGAACAGAATGTGAGGACGTTAAATTCTTGATGTAGCAGCTCCTGGGGACCTCACCAAAAGTGCAGCTGGGGAGCCTGCTGCATGCAGTGATGCAGGGCTTTTACATCCTTCTGACAGCCAGCAGTTAGTCAGATTAGGCTGTTCTAAATCACTGTCTAAAATGCTCTAGGAAACCAAAACGGCTTGTGCTTCGGTTTTCACTAAATGCTTTTTCAGTGGTGGCTCGGGCTCTCTGTGTTCCTTGCCTTTGTAGCTCGTTTCTTCTTTTAACATGTACTAAAAAGCTGTGCAGCTTGAGAAACATAGTGGATGAATTGTTCTAATGTTCGTGTAAGTTGGAGGTAGAGAGTGGTTATGGGAAAGGAAAAGAGTATGCAGAATTGAGAGGCGAACCTCTAAAAAGTAACTGATTGAGCTGTGAAGTGCAGGTGTTGTCAGAATATGCTCTGGGAAGCCCGAGGCGGCTTTTGTCTGCTCAGAAGGGAAAAGACATTGTAATAATCAAGGACAGTGGCAAAGCAGTTTCTGCGGCCAACTGGGACAGCAGTTTTCAAAAGCAGGTGTCTGAAAGGTAACTCGGACAAGGAAAATCCAGATAATACTACGCTTTGCAGTCGCTCACAGAACAGGGGAGGAGAGAGCAGAGGAGCGAGTATAGGGGTGAGGAGGGTTTCCACAGACTGGTAATGATTAACAAGCAAAACTGGACTACTGGCGTGCCTTCAGGCGCTTAGTGCTGCTTGCCAGCTTCTCCGTGCCAAGTCATTAAGAGAAGCAAGTATCACTGAAGGTTGCAGTCCCCAAAGTTACACAACAGTGCTGATCACATTAGACCTCTTTCTGCTGGAGTGCCTCTCTGCAGAGATTTTACTTGTTACTTAGCAGGTTCATTACCAGCTATGGTAGGAAGCCCAGCTTGGAGCAGAAGGTTGTCTTACTCTGTCTGGGCTCCTTGATCTTTATCCTTAGACTTCTAAGACACTGAGAGGATTGCAGGGTGTTTTTTTCAGTCTAGGGCTGGGATGTGCTGACCTTATCTGTACCTGCATGTCTTGGCATTACAAAGGAATGACCTTGGGCTACTCACTGGGTGTCTTAGACCACGGCAGATCTGTCAGTTGGGCTGTGGGGAAACTGCGAACCTAACAAAGATGCAACCCCAAGTCGTCTTTCCTTGCCTGCAAAGCCGTAAGCACCCTGCCTACCTGGTTCCGATTGCCTCATACCTTTCCTCGAGTTACTTATAAATCAAAGTAGTATATAGCTTTTACTTTTAAATTGCAAATGAGCAGTGAGCCCCTGCAATTAAGGGAATGTAATAAACTTCTGTTAGGGAAGGGTGTGGGCAAAGTCAATGATATTACAGCACTCATTGCACAATATCAATCTAATTATGGTGCAATACAGGTGCAAGGGAATTTGCAACCTAATACTGCTTAGCATGGGGATTAGAAACCTTGTCAATGCTAGGGAGCGAGGTTTGACTTTTTGTTAAAAGCCATAATCTCTTCAAACAGCAAATGTTAAGGTTCAAGCGTGGAAAAGCTTGTTTTCTTGAAGAGGAGAGTCTGACATTGAACTCTCAAGAGTCCTCTCAGTCCAGCTGGAGTCAACAGGAGATGTTTTCAAGCATCACCTGTAAACTAGATACTGCAAGATGTGGCTCTGTGTTTCTCCCCCACATCTTTATCCTTGCACTGTACTGCTAACAAGGTTTATTGGCTTGGAGGGGGGGAAGCTCAGGCACCTCTCCCTACTTCAAGACAGACTAGAATATTTGGGAATAATGTTCTCGGTTGTTCAGGATAGTACGTAGGTACCCACATTACTAAACAGATGGCTTACCCCTGTAAGCCTTGTCTCTTCCAAATTGCCAGAGTGGCTCTTGCTGTAGCATTAAGTGCTTTGTATTTAATAAATATGCCTAAAAGCTCATTTTGTTCTGCGTAGGACAGTTTGTATGCAGCTGTCTTCAATTCATTTAAACCTGCTGTTCCATAACCTAGGAACATGATGGAGATATTCATAGGTGGCAACTGATGGAGCATGTGTGGGTAACCTCAGTCTGGCTTTTGCTGGTGTCTTTTATGGGATGCAACTTTGAGTGATGACATGTGACTGACTGGACTACAGGACTTCTATCAACTGTATCAAAACTGGCACTGGAAAAAAAATGGAAAAAAAGTTATGGTTTTCATGCTAATTGGCTGGTTTTCATGCTTACTTATTTGTGTTCCCTAGTGTAAAGTGTGGTCTTGAGATTCCTTCCCATTCACTGATATTTTGCTTTCTTCAGAATGTGTTCAACATGGTTGTGGAAGTACCTCGATGGACAAATGCTAAAATGGAGGTAACTATATTACAGTTCCTAGATCAAGTGCTTGAGCTGACTAGTCTATTCATCTTTGGCTTTGCTGATTCTCTCCTTCTCAGTTCCACCTCCTGAATCAGAGTGGTTTCTATCTTCTCGTGTAAATACTTGCTTAATGCTAGAGGTCTAGTATGGAGGCTGAGACTTGCAGAAGTTGGAATAACTTAGTATTCTTCTGTGGCTTCTGATTAAAGCAGCATCTTATGGCTCTCAACCCCGTGTGGTTCTGACATTTGTAAGTCTGCTGAAAACTATATCCCAGGAGATGGCAACGCAACAGGAAATGGAGTTGTCCAATATCTGCTGTTGGCTTCAGGGTCAGCTCCTGGTCTCTTGGCTTGTCGGTTAGCAGCCAGCTTCATTTTAAAAAAAATAGCTCGTTTTTTCTTAGAGAGCGAAGTAAAGAGATTTATGTAACTCCTCTTTCAGATTGCAACAAAGGATCCCTTAAACCCAATTAAGCAAGACGTTAAGAAAGGAAAACTGCGCTACGTAGCTAATGTGTTTCCCCATAAGGGCTATATCTGGAATTACGGTGCTATCCCACAGGTACTGTAACTTGTCTCGGTGGCTCATCCTTTCTGGTGGGGAGGAGGGAGGATGCCTCTGTGTGTGTCTCTGACTACCACTGTATTAATGAGCAAAAGGTTAGCTGAGAGTCTGATCTGGAACACAGCATCTGCAGCTGCATATATAATCTTGCTAATGAAGAGAACCTGTCGAGAAAGCAGGGGTACTTTTAAGTAGAGGTCTCAAGAGGTAGGCTTGTAGCTAATGCTGTAAACAATCTATCTGAGGATGAGCAGCTGCTGCTAGTGAGGTACTTGCTCTGTTGCTCCTCTCCTTGGCCACTCAGCAGTTTGGTTGGACAGTAGCTGGCAGGTCCTTGTCTTTGGATGAAGGAAGCTGTCGCTACACAAGGAACTGGGCAACTGGCAATGCAATGCCCTCAGTTCCTGCCTGGTGAAGCATAAAGAGCTAAAGTTTTAAGCTAATGGTACAGGATCTTGGTGTATGGCCCTTAGGTTGAATCTTTACAGAAGATTCTTCTTGCAGTGAATTAGCTGATTGATTTAGACTTTGGATGTGGACGATGAAAATCTGAATAGATCTGAAGACTCTGTCTTTCCCGTTTCTGCCCCTCTTATTGTTCAGGGTCTAAAACGCACGCCTAGACTAACATATTGACCTGTTGGATGGTAGTGGATGCCCTGTTCTCAGTGTTGGATCTGAGTGGCAGAAAGACACTCAGAAGTCCAGAGACTGCGTGAGGCAGATGTCCGCAGCTGCACAGACACGCTTTCTCTGAAACAGCTGGCAAGGGGGGACCGACAGATGGTGACAGCTGGACACATGCTCTTAACTGGCTGGTGACTGCTACATAAAGAGGAACTTTGAGCAAGGCTGTTTGTCTCTGATGTTCTCTTAAGGTTTGAGTTTCCTTTAGAGAAATAAATTGTCAGTGACAGTTCAGAGGGAAACGCCCTGAATTTTGTAATTCTAGTCTTGATAGTCCAAGTGGCTTAAGACGGTGTTTTGAAGTTGAATTGTTTTCTACTCGGCTGGATTCTGGAGCCAGTTTCTTTGTACAGAGTTATGGCTTTTGAAGCCTTTGCTCAGTTGTGTGTTAGTGGATCAAAGATGTTTATGCATCAAGGGCGAGGGACCAAACTTAACACTTCCTTGTAGAGAAGTACGATAGTGATTGTGAAGAGTCCTTCAGTACCACCCAGGTTTCAGTACATCTTCCTGAATGCCCTGGATGCATCACGAGGTCTTGACTATGCTAGTCGTGTCCTGGCACGCAGAGATTTGGGAGGAGCATTCCTTCTTTTTGTATCTCAACAACCTTAGGGGTAGATGCTCCTTATGATGCAAGTGGGCACGGTGTCCTTTCACTCCTGATCATAAGCGTGTTTCAAGCAGCTATTATTTTTGGCAGCATAGCTCAAATGCCTTCTGGAGTGCTGTCTTTCAACTTAGACTCACCTCTTTAGGTGAGACGCACTAGGATGCTGGGTAGCACAGGGTATGGGACTCCGCATTCTTGTCACTGCTCTAGTCTAACAATGTGTCTTTAATTGTTTAATTGAAAGGAAACAATACACCTTGTCTGTCTTCCATCTCTGTTGGACTGCTATCTGGAGTTCAGGAAACTTCTGTTAAGAAATGAATAGGGAGAGGAACAGGCGGGCAGCCAAATCAATGAGTGTTGTTTATAGATATGAACTTCACCTTTATGCAGCTGTGGAATGGAGGAGGAAGTCGGGCAAGTAGTTGAAAAAAGGTTTGTGAGTGGGAGGGAGCAGCTTACCCTTGGCAAGATAAGACCTTTTAACTTGGATTCAAACTGCATTTGCAGGCGCAAGAGAAATAGTAGCCAACCACTAGACCTGAAAGCAAGTGTGAAGTGGGCCATCATCTGTATCTTCAAGGCAACTGCATGCCTGAAATAAAGCTGCTTTTTGTTTCCTCTTGAAACCTGAGTTCTTATTCATGTGTGGGGTTTTTTCTGCAGACTTGGGAAGACCCAGGTCACAAAGATGGAAATACTGGCTGCTGTGGAGATAACGATCCAATTGATGTGTGTGAAATTGGAAGCAAGGTAATGCATTCTAAAGGGTAGCTGTCTTTTGAAACATAATTAATGTCTCTGAAGTCAATTATCCGGAGACATTATTCAGTTCATACCTCCTCTACCTTAAGAATGTGATGTTTCCCTCTACTGCCTCTGGAGATTGTTGATGAGATCTTACAGTGCAAGCCTTGTGAGCCAAGGCTTATGAATCGCTGATAAGCGATAGCTAATTTTGCGGTACCCAACTGCTTGCTGAACTCTCACAGCTTGTACAGTCTCCTGTTGTGCATTCCTTGGATGCGTCAGTACAGACAACAAGGTCTTTGTCCTTGCAGGTCTGCTCTCGAGGGGAAGTCATCAAAGTGAAGGTGCTGGGCATGCTGGCACTGATTGATGAGGGAGAGACAGACTGGAAGATAATTGCTATCAATGTTGAAGACCCTGAAGCAGACAACTATAATGGTAAGTAACAGGAAGGAGGAGCAGGTTTAGTACTTCCCTTTCTCCGTTGAGAGCCTGCAGGAAGCTTTCAAGTCAGGACATGGGCTTGCTCCTTCTATGCCATGGTAATCATCGGATGTGATACTGGAAGGACAGCAGAATAGGATGTTATCGATCCTATAGCAAAACATTTTACTGCTGTTTATCCTAAATTGTCAGTCCTCTGCACAGCCTGGCATCTTGAAGAAGAGGGTGGCTGCACAGCCTGCCCTCTGAGTGGAAGGAAAGGGGTTGTCCAGTAAGTCAAAGCTGCTTAAACGTGTTCATGCTCCAGGGGGCAATCAGGGTATACTGTGAAGATGAAACACTTAACTTCCCTGTGCAGATATCTACTCTGCGTCTTTACTGTAAGCTGTCTGAAATGTTGCTAAGGCTACTTGAGGAGGGGCGGTTCAGAAGAGTGGGGTAGTAGCCAAGTAACTTCTGTTACTAGATCTGGCTAACAAACCTTTTCTCCATGGCTAGACATCAATGATGTCAGAAGGATGAAACCTGGATACTTAGAAGCTACAGTGGACTGGTTCAAAAGATACAAAGTACCTGATGGAAAGCCAGAAAACCAGTTCGCTTTTAATGGCGAATTTAAAGACAAGGTAGGACTGCCTTTCTCCATTGCTGTGAGCATGCAAAGGCACGCTGTCCAAAACCTGAGCTCAAGGTGCATGGGGACACAAATGAGTAGTTGCTGAGAGAATGGGTTTCTAGGGGGCTGCTGACTTCATTCTTCCTGCTGTTTTTCCAGCCTACCATTCTGCTTGTTTCCAGCCCGGTGCTTGCAGGAATACTATGAGAAAAAGCATAGGGTTATCACCCGGCTGCTGTTGGATATTATCAGTTTTTCTTCTAGATGACGTTCACGTGGGATCACTTCAGGGCTGGGAACCCCCATGTCAGAGCCAGGATGGAAAACACCAGGTTTATTTGCTCCTGCTCTGGAGCAAAGGGTGCTTGACATCACCCTTTGCCTCCCTTGCTCACTGGCTTTTTTCCACTGCAGCCTGTTGCAAGTTGACTACTCAGGAGTTAAAATGCTTCTGCCTTCGGGTGTTAAAGTGTTCCCTCGTGCCCTTTGAGTACGGCTCTGCCTTGGCAGCGTTATTCCTCTGCCTGTTCTCTGAATAACTTGCTGCTCCTGAATGGGAGAAATCCTGCTTCTGCACCCTCCCTCCTGACGGTCCTGCTGTGCCATGAGTGGGTTAGTGAGGCGACTCAACTCCCAGAGCTCTGGAGTTGGTGCAGAGAGGGGAGGGCCTGCAAAGCCTGGTGTGGGAGGGGAAGGAAAGGGTAAGGGGGGAAAAATGGAAGTCACGTGGGAGTGGACTTGTCCCGTTCAACTGTAGCACGGCACTAGGCTGGGTGGGCTGGGACATCTCGCTGCCCCTCAGGATGGGTGAAACCGGAATCGAGGCCAAGGCGGAAAGTAGGGACAAAGAACCTCACACGTGTTCCTGCAGTGTTTTATTTGGCTCTGTGTGGTATCAAACCGGGATATTTGTTGCTGGTGTTCATGCTAACAAAGAATTGTGTGTGCTTCTTTCTCCAGCTGACAGGTTAATGCTTGAGCATTTACTACTTTTTTTAAGGAAAAAAGCTGTGATATGCTTGGAAGCAGATTCACTTTTAAATAGTTGCAAAGCTGGATTAGGTGTATGTCTCTTCCTGTTGATCTGCACAGAAGTTGAATGATTTGCCTGGAGTGAAAGAAAGCTCGTAGATAGGTCAGGATCAACTAGCTGCCGAAGACAAACTGACTGGGAGGAGCAGCAGGGTGGAGGTGCTTTTATAATACAGCACTGGCCCGAGACTAGAATATCTGCATTCAGTTTCTTTTGGCTTTAAGCTTGCTAGGTGACCTTGGCGTATCCTCCCATCTTGAAAGTAAAACAATTGGTATTATAAAATCCCCGTTGTTTAGCTGTTGTGTGCTGGGAGGTTGCTGCTGTTCCTGAGGGGTGCAGTAATGGAAGGGGTCTCTTTGAGACCCTTCCAGAGTCAGAAACTATCTAAAATCAGCCTATAAATACTGGCCTCTCGTTCCATGTAACCGGTAGTCTGGAGAAAATGGCCTAGTGCTTACACATAACATGATGTTTGTTCTCATCTTCAACTTCAGGATTTTGCAGTGAACATCATCAAAAGCACTCATGAACACTGGAAAGCTTTAATAGCGAAGAAAACTGACGGAGGGGAGATCAACTGGTAGGTTAATACTTGCGGTATTGTGCGCTTTCCTTTCCCCTAAACAAATAACCCTGAAACTTCCTTTCCTGAGTGGTGCCGTGCTTTCTGTTAGCTGCTGGCTGTCTCCGCAGGCCTTCACCTTCAGCTTGGCAACTGTAACAGTGATTTTTAATATTCCATTATTTAATATTCTTGGGGGAGAGACTTGGCTTTCACGTTCTCACAAGCGACCTTTCTCTTCTAGCACAAATCTGACGGTGTCTGACAGCCCCTTCTGCTGTAGTCAAGAGTGTGCAAAAGCTACTGTGGATGCAGTGAGTACAAATCTGAGTGTCCTTCCCCCAACATCAGTGTCAGGCAAAACGATACGGTTTGTGTGGTACCGTAAACTGTCCTTGCTGTGTGAATAGCGCATTGTATGCTCAGAATCTTTTTGCATGACTGAATGCAGCACCTGTTTCTGGTTAAATAGGATGGATGGTGGAGCAAGCCAGATGTTCCTCCAGAGGCTTCTCCTTGCCTTTAGTCATCGGGGAGATGGAATCCAAAACGGAGTTTGCATGAAGGGCTAAGCTTCTGAACCGTAGCTTGGCTGTCAGCTGTTCAGAGCGTGTTTAAATATTTGGCCTTCCAAGAGCTTCGCAGCACAGGTCACCCTTTGAGAAGAGAAAGTCTAATTTCTGAGAGCCTTGCAGCCAGGGACCTTGCATCCTTTGCAGTGAAAAGCTTGAAGTTCCCAGTGTAGTACCCCTACAGTTTCAGGACTTAACTGCCTCTCCCTAGGCTTGTCAAGTACTGTTGTTGGCAACTTGAAAGGGGCTAGAGGAACGGGGCAGGAAAATAAAAATATTGACTTTAAATATTTTAAATTTAACTTTAATATTTTAAATGTTGCCTCAGTGTACGGAAATGTGACTGGAAACCAGAGTCTCTCTGTAGCCTTCTATCACCATCCTGGTTTTAGAAGGGCTTGTATGCTCTGGTGGTATCCGAATTACTTTAAAAGTTTTTTGAAAGTGTAACCCTCGTGGAGGATGTGTCACCAGATGCCCTGACTGTCTTTGGTTGCTAAACACCAGGTGAAAGCTCTTCAGAGAAGTTTTTTGAGAGTCCTTTGTACTTCTATGCCACCATCACATTGTAGGTTTAAAAAAAGCAGGCTGCACGCAACTGTATAGACGCTGGAGCGGTAACTGCTTGCGGTGAGAAGTAGATGGCACTGCAGCCTCTGCTTAGAGCAGAGCGCCTCCGGCATGTAGGACATGTACGGAATGAGGAGGCTGTGGGAACAACAGGACTCAACGCCGCACCTGAGCTCATTTATTCCCTCACAGCTGACCAGCACTGGCTGCCACAGCCCAGTTTACACTGCTTAGATCTTAAACTGTGCTCAGTGAAGACTTGCGCAGCTCTAAATGACGTCTAGTGAGCTTCGGGCGTAAGGTCAACATCTGTCAGCAGTTGCTATCTGCTAATACGTGTCTCATTTCAGGCACCGCCGTGTAAAGCTGCCAACCCAATCCCACCCGAAGGTAAGTCTCACAGCCCACACTGATGTCCCAGTGCAGAGCGGAGGCTTCCTCAAAGGAATTATCAATAGGAAAATGAGGGTCTTCACTGGTAGCTAGGTATGGCTCTAGCGCTAGGAGAAATGAAGGACCTTGTTGGACCTAACTTGTGTCAGTAATGCTGTTTAATTCCCAAATAGCTTCTGTTGTTGCCTTACTTCCTTGTTTGGGTACGTGAGGCGGGTGAGTGAGTGGTAAGTAGGAGACCTGAGGTGACATAGTTTGCTGCAGAAGAGATTAGATTTATAGCAGGTCCTGAAAGAGCAGCACTGCAGAGGGCTGAAGTGCAGCGATAGCAGGAGAGCGGTTTTAGTTCCTCCGAAACAGGGGTTTCGTCAGTATCCTCAGTGCAGGCGAGCCAAGGAAGGGAAATACTCCCTACCTGCGCAGAGCAGAGGCAGAAATCGGTCGTGTGTTCGGTGCTTCAGTTGCTGCTTACCCGCTGATCAGAGATCTGTCACTGAACAAGTGTCTGCTGCGAGCTGGTAACGAGCCTTGTGATGCCTCGGGACACGACTCCGGGAAAACAACGGCTCAGCTGTCGCCTTCCTTCTGCGTGAGGTGGCGATGGGCACTTCGCACGCCAAGTCTGGACGTTGCTGCAGCCGGGGCAAGCGCCAGCTGATGGCAGCGTTGAGAACGCACAGCTGGGTGGCAGAAAGAGGAGCTAGGCTGTCGTTTCCAATCTCTTAATGGGTAATAAACCCGCAAAGAAATCGGTGTCTTCCGTGTGGGCGTGGGAGGTGGAGGTAAAATGACTTCACCTCCCTGAGTCAGCTGGGCCAGAGGGAAGCCGAGCTGGCTCTGGCTTGCTGTCCTCCCCTGAACTGAGTCACGGGTAGGCTGAGTGAGGGTGACTTCTTCAGGGAAACAAATACACGTAAACAGGGCTACAGGAGAACCTGTTGGGTGCGTGGTGGTGGTGTTGACAGGAGCGGGAGGAAGGCCCTGCGCTGGAGGTGACGCAGGCGGTGCCCTATGACTACTTAATGAGTGGGTGGCCAACAGAGGACAGACCCCCTCTCTTTTTTTCTCCCCCCCCCTGCCCCGTACAGTTGACAAGTGGTTCTACTACCAGAAGAACTAAGGCCTGAGGATGGGTGGTGACACAGCTGCGCCCTTCCCACCGAGGGGTCGCCACAGGCAGGAATAGACCAGGGAAATAGTAGCTGCAGTGTCAACAAGACGACCTTGTCTGCAACTTTGCCGATTAGAATTACGTATCTAGCAGTGACGTCTCTGCTGCATCGAGGTCTTGTGGAGGCTAGAAGACATAATTTATAAAATCGAAACACCCTGCTTGTGCGTGTCGTAAAGTGCTTTGTAAATCGCGACAGAAGATCGCTCACCTGGTACGTGTATGGATGCTATAAATAAAAACTACTGAAACTGAACTCTGCGGGGCTCCTTCTCCTTTCCCTCCCAGTAATGGAGGCCTGGAGCCGAGGGGTGGACAGGGGCCCTTACGTGGGTCTGTGCTGGGGGTTGTTAGCGCGCCGGGTTGTTTCGGGGGGGATCAGGGGAGGATTTATCTGGCCCCTCGAAGAGGGGACTTTGGCTTGGGGCGACCGGACCCGCCGGGGGGCGGCCTCGAACCCG